GTACTATTTTCTAGTATAATGTACAATAATATATAATAAGTACAGATATATTTAATTAGGTGAATAATTGCAATAAGAAATTTTCTTTTAAAAGAATTCACTTTCTATTAATCTGTATGTGGATTTCTGTTGCCTAGTATTTTAAATCAAATATTGATTTTGGAAGAATTGCATTTAACAAAATAAAAGCATTAGTCAATAGTCTCCAGCCTATTTTCTTCAAAACAACTATTTCTTAATATATTGTTTCTATTTACCTTTTCTGTATTTAAGAGGAATATGCCATCCTACAGCTCGTTTTTAGATGTACTGTTATCAGACTCAACAGTTAATTTGGTGTGCTCTGAGAAAAATAAAACCATCCACCCTACCACTGTTCATGCATATATATTTAGTGAAAATATTTTCACAACTAAATTGTGGTTTACCATGATGCACATTAACACAATTCCTGGGAATTATGATTAAAGTAGCTTTTGAAATAATTGTTTGTTTTGTTTGAAATTTATGATAATATTTATTACATACTAAACAGCATAACGAAACAAGGTTAATTGAAAGCAAAAAAATAAAAGTTTGCAGAATAGTCTTTCTGGCTACACAAAAGGCTGGAGCTATGTGACTTCAAAGTAGTTGGATTTCCACATTGTACTGAGTCCTAATATAAAGTTGATGTATGAAAGGGAATCTAAATAAACAGTGATTTGCTTAGGGCAGTAACCACATTTAGAAACCATGGTATTTGCTGGCTTACTCATTGTTTTTGATTACAACTGTGCTGATCATGATATGTAAACAGGGACACATGATTTTTTTTGTAATTCTGTTATCACAGAGGTGCAAGGCAATAGCTGCTATAGAAGAAGGAAAAAATTAGGAACAAACTATGATTACTTTGCTGATCTACAAGACTGGCATTGGCTTGTTTCTGGCTCGTTCAACAAACCAAAACTGGCCAAAATTGTGACTTAGTATCATCACTCCAAGATCCCCTTCCTATCTGTTATACTGAATCTTAGTTTACTATGGCATGTCAGCATGTGTACTCTGTTGTTCCCAACTGCAAGATTTTTTTTTTTTAAATATGGAAAGTGCAGTGGCTTACTGATTCTCCAGGAATGTTGGTTTACCTTATACTAGAGGAAACTGCAGTAAAAAGTAGCAAGAAGAATCTATTTTAGGATTCCAGGCATTTAATTCTATACCCTAGCCTAATTTTCTTCCATAAGAGTTACATCATTGTTTTTTAACCACTCAGGATACTGCTTTTGATCCCTTAATGTATTTTTTCCTAAAGATTTTTTGTCTTTTTGCAAACTCTTACAACTTAAGTGTACATGATGACATTCTGGCTATTTAAGTCCAATAGATTGAACTGAAAATGCTATTAATACATAGCTCAATTTCCTGCTGCAAATACACATTTGAAAATACAGTTTTTTTAGTTACTGAGGAGGTCATAATTTTGAATACTTCTGAACTATAACCATCAACTTAAGAGCTTTATCTCTTCTAATACTGTATTATACCACTCCTCTGTTATGCTGTGTTTCCTTCTCTTTTCTGGATTTCTGCATTGCTGTAGGAGATTCACCAATATTTGTTGGAGAACGGAAAGGAAAGGTAAGAGAGTTTTCAAAAATAGGAGTGAAGTAATGGTCGTTTCTCATGATAATTTCTTTTCCTAACTCTTATTCGCTTTAGTTTTGTTGCATTTATTTTATCATGTGTCATTTCATTATTTTTCTGTTCTCTTAATTAGAGTTATTTCAGGAATGTTTACAAATATAAAAACAATAAGCTTAATTATCTGGTAATTTTTTTCACATTTGTCATGATATACCTGTATTTACATGTTTATATCCTTCTTCCATGTATCATTGCTATGGATGCATCTTAGATCTGTTTTTATGTTTCATGATAAAATCAGTACAAGGCAAACTGCCAGAACAGTCTTCTAGATTTGGGGATGAAATGGTGGTCTCCAAGCTATATTTCAGTATCTCTCCATGTTGTTAGCTCCTAATCTTTAATAGAAAAATATTTCAAAATAAAATACACAGGGTGCAGTAATATTTAGTCTTTGATGTGAAAGAGACTGAATTTTTAAAATTTATTTTTCTTTAAGAAATGAGTGGCATGCTGTGGTTGCTGTTTAATTCTTTTATGTTTTCTTCTTGTAATGCCAAAAATTGGTGCACTTTTAAATATAGTTATGAATATGAGTTCAGGTATATATTTTTGGTAGTATCCATAGAGTAGTATAGAAATAAATGGGAAAGCAGCCATTAGGTCCCTTATAGCACAAGATTCTGATAATCAAATTAAAACACCTCCCACAAGCTTAGAACATAGTATAAACAAAGCACATCTAATTAATGCCAGGAAATAACTGAGTAAAACTAGTAAAGTGGAAATTAATGGCATTCAAAACAAAACAATACTGTAACTAATGATTAGAACTAAAGAAAAAGGGATTATTACTATTATTGTTATTAAGCCATTGAATTTGCAAAATGGTTATTTCTAATCCACTGAATTTACAACATTTCTGCTAGTTTATACATCAGGAAAAAAAACCACCTGAAAAATCAACATTTTTTCTCTGTATTTAAAATAGTTTTATGAAATAAAAATGTTTCAGATGGAATCAGTGATTTTATGAGGAGATAATGTGTGTGGAGTTACAGGAAAAAAAATACATCAAATTTAAGGATATAAGAATTTTGAGCAAATCTTTAGAAAAATGAAATCAAGCAAAGATGTGGAGAGTCTTTCAGAATTGGCCCAAATTTTCATATAGGAAAATTAATTATTGGATATAAGGAAGATGATTCTTGGGAAGGCATCATAAAGTGTTCATTTGGAGCAATTTAATTGTGCTTCTCAAATAACACATAAACTAATTCCAAATGATAAACTACTTTTGAAGCTTTGCAAGGGGAGCTGTTGGAAGCCTAAAATCTCATTAAATATACTTAAGCCTACTTGTTTGAATGTTACTAGAATTTATATTCTGGACAAATGAAGAGCTGAATTTCAGATTGTTGTACAGTGTATGAAGCTGAAAATAATAATTGATAAAGATTATGGGTAAGTGTTGATTGTCAGCTGTCTCTTAGAGGCACTGAACTGTCCGTAGCTAAATGCTTTTAATGCTAAATTCAGCCACTTACTGCAAACCAGTCATGAAAAATATGTTATTCACTGAAATGAAGGGTTCCTGAAGAGGAACAGGGAGAATTGGGACACTAAGGACAATAAGCAACAGCAGTCTCCTATATTATTTTTTTTCTTTGTGTAAGCGCCTAAAATGTAAATAGAGGTAGTAATCAGAATAGACAGAATACAGTGGAACCTCAAGTTACGAATTTAATCCATTCTGTGACTCTGGTTGCAACTCGAATTGGTTGCAACACGAGGCAAATTTTCC